ACCAGTCAGTGATCGATGAGGACAAGTTGGCAACAAACTACAACAAACACCTCCGCACCCAATACTCTCACATCAATCCATCAAGATTCTCATCAAATAAGGCGCCATGACTGAAAAATACAAACAGGTCGTGAATCGAATCCCCAAGGAAATTTGGTGGATGATTCTGGACGAAGCCGTCGACCAGCACAACCCGCTATTCTTCTCGACTACTTTTGAAGGGAGCAACTGGTCTACATACTCGACCAGAACATCCATCAGGCAAGAAGCTGAACAACAAAATCGTGCCGAGACGCAGAGGAAGATCATCGGGTCTGTATGCCGCTCGTGGCAAGTCTTTGCCCGGTTAAGACGCGATCGTCGTATCACTATAACGTGGGGAGAAATGGACAATATGTATCAATTGCTCGAGAGAGCGTCGAGCGCATGTCGTGGCGAGCTTTACAATGGTGTCTGTCAGTGGATCATCTTCACCTCACATTGTGTGAAAGGCTTCAATTGGGAGATCGTGGAGATGAATATGGAAAATATAGAAATTTTTCTCCTTATCCCATTTCCACGCTTGCGACGCCTGCGGATGCGCCCAACGGAAGGTTTTGATCACACCCGGTTTCTCGATGCATTGGTCAAATTTAACAACATCACTTGGCTCGACTATCAAGGTCGCTGTGATTCTTCGGATCGGTCTCCTGCGGTGGACGAGAAGAGACCTCCGGTTGTCGTCTCCAACCTTCAAGTTCTCTCGTACGGATTCCAAGGTCCTCTTGAGTATCCTTTTCAACATCTTTCATTTCCATCTCTTCGATACCTATCCTTTCATATTGATGCTTGGCCCAGTTATATGTCTCTAACCGAGGTCCTCTCACACTATCGTCGAACGCTCCAGTCATGCGTCATCAAAGTGCAGAGAGTGACAACACTATTCGAATGGAATGATCAATTTCCACCATGGGATGAATTCCCCAAGCTGGAAGAGTTGGTCATCGACAGACCATGGGTTACAAATTTTCATCCACTCCCTTCAAATCATCCATTACAGAGACTAGAAGCACAATACAAAGTGATAGATGGGATGAAATCGCTGTTGGAAGGTGCACATATGAAGGAGATTATCTTGCAGAGGGTCTCCTGGGCGAGTGACGGCGGATTGAAAGGCAAAGGTCAAGGGCTAATCATGGATAAGGTCGAAGTAGATTGTTTTATAGAACAAGCTCGGTGTCGAGGGATTGTGTTTAAAGTATCTTGGAACCCCGGCAGATATCTACCTAGACCCAAATTTTTGTAGGACAAGCTTTAGATGACGATCCTAGAGTTGTTGTATGTAGTCTATTCAAACCGATAAACCACCTTGCATCTAGTTTTGAGTTCCAACTCCACTACTATGGCGGAGTTTACTCTTGAATTTTCTGACGTCCAAATGTTTGACTCGTTTTGTCACCTGTCCCATAACCAAGAGGTAGTATTAATAGAAAACTGGATGTCCAAGAGTCGGAAGTCTCGTGAATAAGCGTATATATGTCGCTTTATCGCAAACTTGAGCTCACGACTTTTGGGAGTGACTGAATGAATAATGAACAAAGCAATGGACAGGTTGGCGCCTTGCACATCTAGTTCAGACACTCCCTTACTCGATACATCCTTCAGTGCTCTTCATAATATTCGGTTAATATCATCAAAGAAGACGCCATGACTGAGCAACCCAAACCAGCGGTACATCGAATCCCTGTCGAACTCTGGTGGATAATTCTGGACGAAGCCATCGAACAGCATAACCCGTTATTCTTCTCGACTATCTTTGAGGGAAGTAGCTGGTTAAAACACTCAAGTTCGAGATCCTTTGGGCAAGAAGATGGACTGCGAGCGCGCGCCGAGTCACAGAGGAAGGTGATTGGCTCCGTATGCCGCTCGTGGCGAGATTTTGCTCGTTCAAGACGGGATAATTATGTCACTTTATATCTCGATAATAAAGGCGAATTGTATGGAGATATCGAGAGAGCGGTAAACGCTCGAAGGGTCAAGCTTTACAAGCGTCTCTATGAAAATTTGGTCAGATCTATACAAATTGGCCAGGGTTTCAACTGGGAAACTGTGGAGATAAGCGAGAAGGATGCATTAGGGCTTGCTCTCATTCCACTTCCCCATCTACGGCGTCTGAAGATGAGAACAAATCAATACTTCCTTCTCGACCCATTCCTCGATACACTGATCAAATTTAGCGACATCACTTGGCTAGATTATGATGCCTCTATTCAATATAGAGGGACTATCTCAATGGGTGGCGAGAGATCTCCAGTCGTACTACCAAACCTTCAGGTTCTCTGCTACAGCGTCGCGGATGCCTTTACAGGTTCCTTAGAGTTTCCCTTCCAACAGCTTATACTTCCATCTCTTCGATTCTTGTCCTTCCATATGATAGGTACCGGTTTCAATGTTCCTCTAATCAAGATCCTGTCACGTTATCGTCAAACACTCCGGTCGGTCGCCGTCAGAGTAAAGAGACCAGAAGGAACTCTGCCCTGTGTTCAGTTTCCTCCGTGGTACGAGTTTCCCAAGTTGGAGGAGTTGGCCATCGACAGGCCATGGGTTATCAATTTTCACTCCCTCTCTTCCGGGCATCCGCTACAAAAGTTAGAAGCACAGATTGATTCGTTGGGCATTATACCTTCACTCTTAGGGGTTGAGAGTTTGAAGGAAATAACCTTGCGGAGGTCCCGCTGGGCAGCTGCTGGAGGACTGACCCTAACAGATAAAAATGGAAAATTGAATATAGATAGAGTAAAGGTAGATCGTCTCTTGGGACAAGCGGAAGGTAGAGAGACTCCATTCGGAGTAATTTGGAATGGGGGATATTTACCAAGACACAAAGCGACTGGCAGTGCGACTGAAGCAAGCTCCAGGTGACGAGCGTGGATTGCGGATATGTAGACTATTCGTACCGACGCTTTAGCTTGTATTCAGTTTCATTTTCTTGATCGAATGGTACATGAGAGTCTTTTAACGTTTCGCTCGTTTCGTCACGTGGCATTCTGCGACGCGACTCAAAGGAAATTGCGAACAGATGAGGACCAGAGAGCTTAATGAAACGCCTTTGAGTGGTCGAATAGGCGTGGTGTGTCGAATCTGAAACTACGACTTTTTTCGCCAGCAGCAATTGTGTACTACTAATGCGGGCGTGACAAGATGGACACTGGAATCATCCTATACATCCTCAACTATTTATGAATCGAGAATTAACAATTGCCTCACCCGGAAATGTAACACGTTTCCAGATACGGCGGATCAAATTCAATGAACAAAGCAATGAATAGGTTGATGCCTTCGGTGGACTTCTGGTCATACATTCCCGTACCAATACATCCTTTTTTATGCGCTTTATGCCATCAAATCCACCTTGGGAATATATGCAGCGTGATGACCGAACAACGCGAATCAAGCAGTCAGCTCCACATCGAACACCCAGGGAAATTTGGTGGATGATTCTGGACGAAGCGGTCGAGCAGCGTAACCCACTATTCTTCTCGACTACATTTGAAGGGAGTAACTGGTCAACATACTCAAGCTCGAGATCCCTTGAGCAAGAAGATTATTTGCGAGCGCGGGCGGAGACCCAGAGAAAAATCATCGGCTCCGTATGCCGCTCGTGGCAAGTTTTTGCTCGATCAAGGCGCGGTCGTTATGTCAATTTCGGGAACAACAAAAAGTTTGAAGAATTCGAAAAATTTACAAACGCACGGCGTGTGGGCATTCAATCCATTCCTCGACAAATAGGTAGCTCTCCCGAATTTATGCAGAGCTTGAATTGGGAGATTGTGGAAACTGACCAGGACGATGTACAAGCACTCTCCGGCATTTCGCTTCCACACCTGAGACGCCTACGAATGACTACCTGGGATTCCTTTCATCCTGACCCATTTATTGATGCTCTAAGTATGTTTAAAGGCATCACTTGGCTC